GGTGTCGGACCGGGGTCCAGGAGCAGGTCCGGTCCTGGTGTCGGACCCTGGGTCCAGGAGCAGGTCCAGTTTTGATAAAAAATTTAAGTTCAACATCAAACACTTTAAACTGTGACTGAGTCACGTGACTCCAGGGATCAGCTGATCAGATGGTCAACGCTGCAGATCAGGAACAGGTGTGAACGCACCTGGACATTATCGCCCGCCGCCGAGGGCAAAGGTGGAGCGATCAGACAAAATCTCTCTCCAACCATTGGATGACTCAGGCAGAAGCAGTGGGCGTGTCCTGAGCAAACAAAGATGGCCGCCAGAGGCAGAGCTGTGATTTGTTGTGGTAGTAGCTGAGAGTCGTCCTCACACACGCCCTGAGGGACGCAAGGAGGGCGTGCTAACTTTAAAGTTCAAAGTTTGACTCAAACATTAAACTTTGATCTAAGGCGGCGGGCGACGCGCATTCCCATCAGGAAATGAGTTTCACCTGGAGCAGGTGAGCCTCTGGACCAATCAGCTGCCAGAACAGCTCACTCGAACTGAACCGGACTCAGAACCCGGGTCTAGTCGCGTCAAAATCAGAGTCCATGTGGGGTTCTTACCTGGTCCTGGTCCTGGTCCCGGTCTCTGCGGTGCCCTGCTGCAGACTGACGGGCTGCTCCCTGGTCTCAACTGAGCCTCCACCCTGGGCGGGTCCGGTCCACCTGCAGCTCACCGGAGCCGTGCGTAATGACGCGTGACGCACGCGGCGTCACGCGCGCCTGAGGAGGAGGAGGGTTCAGAAAAAAAAGATCCTGTCAGAGAAAGTTCTCCCAGTGACGTCACCTCCTCTCCCAACAGGTCTGGAGATCAGAACCCGAAATATTTCAGGAATGTTTCTGCTGATCCTGGATCTGATCCTGGATCAGATCCAGGATCAGATCCAGGATCTGCGTTTGGAGAAAAATGTGAAGATCAAACAAACAGGATGAAGTTTTCCTGATGATAAAGTTTAGTTTGAGCTTCATCGGGTCAGTTCCGGTAGTTTTCCACAGAAATCTGAACCGTGGGTCTGCGCTCGTGTCAGTCTGAGTGACGTCACCTCGATCAACTCGTTTCTATGACCAGTTATCAGCTGCCATCATGGACGGCATGAGGCGGATGTGGGTGCATGTCTGTTAGCAAAATATCTCCTAAACACTTAAGATGGCTGTAACCGTTAGCTGTACGCTAACAAGTCATCAACCGTCGGAGTGGGACTGATCCAAGGTGGTAACCACAGCTAACCTTTACCAACACATGACTCGACCAGTGGGTAACCAGTCACCTGTTGCACCTCCAACTGGTGGCTAATGGGCCCCCCATTGGGTAACCAGTCACCTGTTGCTACAGGAGACCAGACCAGCTGCTGGGAAACACGAGGACCACGCCCACATTCCTCTGAAGTGAAGCCACGCCCACCAGCAGGTTGGACACTGACTGTTGGACTCTTTCAGGCGACTCCCAGAGACTCGGTGTGTTTTCTTCATTCCTGCTCAGCTGTTGAGACGACGTCACCGTGAAAACATGTCAAGAACATGTCGGAACATCAAAGTGTTCCTGAAGCATCAGACGTTTCATTCATGGAGATAAATGATCAGACGTAACTTCAGCCTCAGAAGAAAAACAAAGTTTGAAAGACAAAATGTTTATTTGTAAATCTTTGAAAACAAAGTTCTGATCCTTCAAAACTAAACCACCGAAGGAAGAAACATCTGGTCAAAGCTGCTCAGCTCCATGTTCTCTCTGAGAACATCCAGGACCTGACACGACCAGCTGTTGGAGGTCCTGGAGGACCTGAGACCAGCTGTTGGAGGTCCTGGAGGACCTGAGGAGACCAGCTGTTGGAGGTCCTGGAGGACCTGAGGAGACCAGCTGTTGGAGGTCCTGGAGGACCTGAGGAGACCAGCTGTTGGGGGACCTGAGGAGACCAGCTGTTGGAGGTCCTGGAGGGAATGTGTCCCGTTCTGGTCCGACGGAGGATTCTAGCTGTTCTACGGTCCTGGATCTTCTCTGCTGGATGGGAGCTGATGTTCTTCTAAAACCTGAGGATACTTTTATGCATTGATGGAGTCTTTCCAGATGTGTAAGCTGCTCATTCCAGAAGCACTAATGCATCTCCATACCATCAGAGAGGCAGGCTGTTGAACTGAACTGATAAACGGCCGGTCCCTCTCCTCATCAGTACGGAGGTCCATCAGTTTTGGATCCATCTCAGAACAGTTCTGGTCCAGAGAAGATGGCAGTGGTTCTGGATGTTTTTCACATCTGGCTTCTTGTCTGATAGAGCTTTAAGCAGCATCTGTGGAAGTCCTGAGCCCAGAACTGAACCAGACCTGGTTTTGATGCAGTGGCCCCTGAAGGCTCCAAGATCACGACCACTGTTGACCTTGAGCCGCGACCTTTGACCTCAGATATTTCTACAGATTATTCTAATCTGTGGATCATATTATGAACAGGAGATTATGGAGATTAAAGCATTTCATTCAGAAACTTTGTTCCCAATGGTTCCCAACACTGGTCCCTGAGGAACACCTGCATGTTTCAGTCGTTCCTCTGCTCCTGGTTTGAATCAAACGCTGAATCATGCAGGTGGTGTTCCTCAGGGACCAGGCCTGGGAACCTGTGCCCATCTTCCTGCGTGTTCCGTTGTTTTGAAAACATTTTACACATCCGTAGTTTTTCAGACAGAACTCTTCATCCCAGCCCTGAATCAAGATTACCAGATTAAAACAGACTAAACTTCAGCAGATTATCAAGTTGCTCCTGAGGTGAAACATCTGCTCTGCTTTAAATCAGATTTATTCTGCGTGCACGAGGAAACAAACGGTTTCGTAACAGCTGTCATGGTTTGTCAGCAGAGAACAGTGTTGTGTCATCGGGCCGGTCAGGGCGTGACGGCTAATAAAAGAAGCACGCAGCTCATGGGAGCGCCGAGACAACCTTTATTCACGCTGACGCCTCAAACTGCGCCATAAAGCCGCAGGTGAAGCAGCCGCCTCTGCAGGTTATCTGCTCCGTAATCTGCTCCGTAATCTGCTCTGTAATCTGCGTCGTCTAATCCCATTTACAGAAAATAAGTTTTTACTTTGATGGAGCTGAGAAAGTTCAAACATCTTTTTATTCAAGATGTTAAGAAGCTCATTCACACGTGAAAGACAAAGTTGACTTGAACTTGAGATATTTTGCTAACAGAGTTATCACTTGACGGACTGAACCGTCCTCCTGAGTTCTGCAACATCGTTGTGGAGTTGGACCGGACCTGCCGCTCCGACCCGGTCCAGATGAAAACTGATGGATTCACTGAGACAAAAACAAAAACAGTTCCATTCATCAGACGAGCAGACGAAGACAAATGGACGTCTCTGAAGGAGCAGAGGTCAAAGGTCACCCGCAGGCCTGTTCAGTGTCATCAGTAAGACCTGCTGAGACACGGTTCTGGTTCTGATCGGACCCAGTCGATCACGAGGGGTTTGTTTTTCTGTCAGGACATTTGACATCGTTAGTCTGACGTCTCTTCACCTTCTTTTAGTTTTTAAAGGGACCGGAGCAAGAACTGATCCTGGTCTCTCTGATCCACAAACCTTCTCCTGAACCTGGTACCAGACTCGGACTTCAGTTCTGGTTCTGAAAGTTCTGGACCTCCGAACTTCCTGTTAGTGACCAAGATCGTCCGCAGCTGCTAGTTTCTCTGTCCCCGCTCAGATGAAAGGAAACTGGTCCAGATGTCCCAGAACTGCAGAGACTCAAGTCTGCCATGACCTGGAACGTGTTGGACCACTAGTCCCGTCCATCAGTGTCCAATCTACCAGTGTCCATGTCCAACAGTGTCTCTGTCAAACAGTGTCCCAATCCACAGTGTCTCTGTCCATCAGTCCAACATGGACTGAGAGGACCAAGAAGCTCCGCCTTCTTCAAGCAGGATTAAAGACAGAAGCTGTCCTCATGGATGAGACATGTCTTCTGGAGACACGTTTGATGTTCTGATGGGACAAAGCTTGAGGTGGTTGGACACAAGGACAAGATGGACATTTTGAGGTGTCGAGGTGAGTCTTTCAGACCTGAGGACACTGAACTAACGGTCTGGGACGGTGGTGGTGCGGTCCGATCCAGTCAGAACCTTTCTGATGGAGACTGAAGGTCCAGGGTCCTGCTGGACCGAGGTCCAGGGTCCTGCTGGACCGAGGTCCAGGGTCCTGCTGGACTTCTGAACCAGATGTTAGTGGGAGTTTATGTGAGCCGGACCGGATCAGAGAAACCCACAAACTGTTTTTATTTAAAGTTCTGGGAAAAGAAGGATCCAAAGACAGGAAGTGAACCGGACCTTCATGCTCTGGGCCAGACCCGGTTTATGAGCTGTTGGTCCAGAACTTGTTCTGGTCCACGTCGCGATAAAATCACTTCGGTCCAAACGAGACGAAGACGGATGACGATGTTTACGTTCCAGGTTGTTTTTTCACGGGTTGACCGGTTCTGACGGGCCTGGAGGAACCTGCCAGATAAACAGAGGCGTGTCCAGCCTGCAGGGTTCTGCCGGGTCGAGTTCGACAGTGTGTGTTCAGGCGACCTGGACCGGATCAGAACCAGAACAATAAATCAGAACCTGCTCGGCATATCAGCTGCTCTGATCCCGAGAACCGTTCGGGTTTTAGAACCAGAACTCTGACGACAAATGACCGACGGCTCGCCTTAGCTTTGGCGGCCATCTTGGATTTTTAATTGACCTACAGTGAGTTGAGGATCACTCTCAGCTACTACCACCCCAAATTTTAGCTCAATGTTTAAAACGTTTCAACTAAAAAAAAACAAAGTAGCTAAAAACGTTAAAATGAGCAGAAAGTAGGTAAAACCAGCAGGAACATTATTAAATCAGCAACAAGTTGAAAGGAGTCAAAGTCCATCCAATCAATAATCCAGGTACACCATCCAATCAATAATCCAGGGACACCATCCAATCAATAATCCAGGTACACCATCCAATCAATAATCCAGGGACACCATCCAATCAATAATCCAGGGACACCATCCAATCAATAATCCAGGGACACCATCCAACAATTTTCAGTCAGGTCACCTGGACAGTTTCTTTTTAAAAAAAAAACAAAAAAAAACTGTCCAGACGACCGGACTGAAAATTGTTGAAAGGAGCATAAAGTTGAACAAAACAGCTAAAAGTAGCTGAAATTAACAGAAAATGTGACCTTGGCAGAAAACGGATTTGAGCGGCATAAATGGGATGAAAAGACAGAAAATAATTTTATTTAAAGAGCACATTAAGCTGAATTTAGCTTAAAAGAAGCAAAAAAAAAAAAGTTGTGTAAATGTTTTTAATTCAGTTTTCTCGTGTATTTAATGTATTTATGAAAACACTATCGCCCCCTCGTGGTGTGGCATGGTACTGCATTTTATTTTGCAAAAAGCTTCTAAGCTGAAGCCCATATTGTCCAGAAATAACCTGGAGACAGTAATTCATGCATTCATTACATCCAGGCTCGACTATTGCAACTCACTCCTTTTTGGTATCAGTCAGACCTCCATAGCTAGACTCCAACTGGTCCAGAATGCAGCAGCCCGGTTTTTGACCAGCACAAGCAAAAGAGAGCACATTACTCCTGTTTTGGCCTCCCTACACTGGCTTCCGGTTCACCTTTGAATCAAATTCAAAATACTCTTGTATGTGTATAAATCACTAAACAGCTCTGCCCCCTCCTATCTTACTGATCTGCTCCAGCCGTATGTCCCACCACGTTCTCTCAGATCAGCAGACCAGTTGCTCCTCACAGTCCCAGGAACCCGCCTCAAGCGCAGAGGTGACAGGGCCTCCTCTGTAGCAGGACCAAGACTTTGGAATGAGTTACCTCTGCTCGTTAGACAGGCCCCCTCCCTCACAGTTTTTAAATCTCGCTTAAAAACTCACTTCTATTCCCTGGCTTTCAGCACTGTGTGATCTGTGCTGAGTCTGTGTGCATCACACTGTGTTGGTCATGTTGCGGTTGTTGTTGTTATCCATTATTGTTTTTGTTGGTTTCTACTTTTTGGTGTCCTGTTATGTAATCTGTTGCTGTGTGCTTGTTCTGTTTGTCCCTGTACAGCACTTTGGTGTGCTTTGTCACTGTTTAAAGTGCTTTATAAATAAATTGGTATGGTATTAGTATGGTAAAAACGAGTGAACAAATAAAAATAAATTAAATTTATCTGGAGTCGTGTGGACGGGCCTCAATATACACAGAAGATGTCTCAGAACAAAACAAACCTGCTTTAGAAATTAAAGTATTATTTTTTAAATTAATTTTCAAATATTTTCTTAAAAATCTCCTCCCGATTTCTGCAGATTTCACTGAAATAATCTTGAATTCAGTAAAATCATGATGATTTGTTTCATGGCAGAAAAACCTACAAACAGAAAAGAGTTCACCTGACCCAAAAAACACGTACCTTTACCTGAGGAACTCCAGTTTCTCTCTCGTCGTCCTGGAAACGATGAAAACTCAAAATATAAAATATATAAAATGAGACGAGGCTTAAACAGATCAATACAATTGGTTAAAATAAATGTTCAGTGATACATAACTGTTCACATAATTAACTTTAGTGCCTCCAAATAATGAATTAAAAAACTATATAATGTCAAATTACAAATGTATCTTTAGAGACAAACTTGGACAGCAACTGGAACATGTGCCAAGCTAACTGCAGCCGAGCCCAAATTTACATTAAGATAAACTAACTGTAATCTGGATTTGTGCTAAACTAGGCTAACTGTAATCTGGATTTGTGCTAAACTAGGCTAACTGTAATCTGGACTTTGTGCTAAATTAGACTAACTGTAATCTGGACTTTGTTCTAAACTAGACTAACTAATCTGGACTTTGTGCTAAACTAGGCTAACTGTAATCTGGACTTTGTGCTAAACTAGGCTAACTGTAATCTGGATTTTGTGCTAAAATCTGGGCTTTGTTCTAAACTAGGCTAACTGTAATCTGGATTTTGTGCTAAACTAAACTAACTTTAATTTGGATTTTGTGCTAAATTAGACTAACTGTAATCTGGACTTTGTTCTAAACTAGACTAACTAATCTGGATTTTGTTCTAAACTAGGCTAACTGTAATCTGGATTTTGTGCGAAACTAGGCTAACTGTAATCTGGACTTTGTGCTAAAATCTGGGCTTTGTTCTAAACTAGGCTAACTGTAATCTGGACTTTGTGCTAAAATCTGGGCTTTGTTCTAAACTAGGCTAACTGTAATCTGGATTTTGTTCTAAACTAGGCTAACTGTAATCTGGATTTTGTGCGAAACTAGGCTAACTGTAATCTGGACTTTGTGCTAAAATCTGGACTTTGTTCTAAACTAGGCTAACTGTAATCTGGACTTTGTTCTAAACTAGGCTAACTGTAA